TCTCCCCAGCCTTCCTGTAGGCTCCCTTCAGGTACTGGAAGGCTCCTATTAGGTCTCCCCGGAGCCTCCTCTTCTTCAGGCTGAACAACCCCAGCTCCCTCAGCCTGTCCTCGTAGCAGAGGTGCTCCATCCCCCTGATCATCCTTGTGGCCCTCCTCTGGACCCTCTCCATCAGGTCCATGTCCTTCTTATATTGAGGGCTCCAGACCTGCACACAATACTCCAGGTGAGGTCTCACCAGATCAGAGTAAAGTGGCAGAATCCCCTGTCTGGACCTGCTGGCAACGCAGCTTTTGATGCAGCCCAGGATGGGATTGGCCTTCTGGGCTGCAGCTGCCCACTGCCTGCTCATGTCCAGCTTCTCCTCCACCAGCACCCCCAAGTCCCTTTCCTCAGGGCTGCTTTCTAATCCCTCACCCCCTAGTTTGTATTGGTGGTGAGGATTGTTCCGGCCAGAGATCTCGAGGTGCTGGAGAGGGTGCTGAGAGGGCAACGAAACTGGTGAAGGACCTGGAGAACAAATCATACAAAGAGCGATTGAAGGAGCTGGGACTGTTATTTTGAGGAAGAGGTGGATGAGGGGAGACCTCATCACTCTCTACAGCTACTTGAAAGGACACTGTAGAGACGTTGGTGCTGGTCTCTTCTCCCAGGTGATAGAACAAGAGGGAACGGCTTCAAGCTCCAACAGGGTGGGTTTAAACTGAACATTAGGAAGGAGTTTTTCACAGAAAGAGTGGTCGGGCTTTGGAACAGGCTGCCCAGGGAGGGGGTGGAGTCACCATCACATCTCTGGATGAGTTTAAGAGCCGTTTAGATGTGGTGTTGGGGGATATGGTGGAGGGGAGAACTTTGTAGAGTAGGGTAGATGGTTGGACTCGATGATTCCAAGAGTCTTTTCCAACCTAAATGATTCAATGATTCTATGACTGCAACATTTTCAGGGGGGATGCACACGGTGTGCCTCAGCCAGACGGGAAAGGTGAGTTCAGCATCATTGGGGGGGGGGACAGGGACATGAGGAGGATGAGCCACTTGTCCCTGCAAGCTCTGGGACGTGTCCTGGAGCAGGGGGGGCTGAATGAGACCTTGTTCTGCCCAGATGTGTAGCTCACTCCAGCTCGGGGGATGAGGGTGGTCTCCATGTGCTCACCAGTTTTGGGCACCTCGATACAAGAGAGATCTCGAGGTGCTGGAGAGGGTGCTGAGAGGGCAATGAAACTGGTGAAGGACCTGGAGAACAAATCATCCAAAGAGCGATTGAAGGAGCTGGGACTGTTATTTTGAGGAAGAGGAAGCTGAGGGGAGACCTCATCACTCTCTACAACTGCTTGAAAGGACACTGTAGGGAGGTTGGTGCTGGTCTCTTCTCCCAGGTGATAGAACAAGAGGGAATGGCTTCAAGCTCCAACAGGGTAGGTTTAAAGTGAACATTAGGAAGGAGTTTTTCACAGAAGGAGTGGTCAGACCCTGGAATAGGCTGCCCAGGGAGGGGGTTGAGTCACCATCACATTTCTGGATGAGTTTAAGACCTGTTTAGATGTGGTGTTGGGGGATATGGTGGAGGAGAGAACTTTGTAGAGTAGGGTAGATGGTTGGACTCAATGATCCCAAAAGTCTTTTCCAACCTAAATGATTCTACGATTCTATGACTGCAACTTTTTGGGGGGTCAGAAGGTTAATTCAGCCCGTCCCCTGGTTTCACACTCAACTTGTTGTCCCCCCACTCTGGGTCCCATCCTGACCCTCTCGCTCTCTCTTTGCAGATCTACACCTTTGGCTGCAACGATGAAGGTGCCCTCGGGCGTGACACCTCGGCCGAAGGGTCGGAGGCCACGCCGGGGCTGGTGGAGCTGCAGGAGAAGGTGGTGCAGGTCTCTGCAGGGGACAGTCACACGGCTGCGCTGACGGAGGACGGCAGGGTGTTTGTCTGGGGCTCCTTCCGGGTGCGTTGGTGTCTCAGAGGCTGGAAGCTCGTGCTGATGGTGGTTGCTGCCTCTTTGACTCAAGTCCCCGCGTCTGTCTCTCTCCACCCAGGATAACAACGGGGTGATCGGGTTGCTGGAGCCCATGAAGACGAGCTCTTTTCCTGTGCAGCTCCAGCTCAGTGCACCCATCGTTAAAATTGTCTCAGGTGAGCAACGTCCTGGGGTGCGCGTGGGGCAGGAACCCTCGGGAGGAGGTGAAGGTCCAGAAGGTCCATGTCCTTTTCCTCCCCCCTTGGCCGCTCCTTGCGGGCACAAGGCTCTGCTTGCTCTCTCTCTCTTGAGAGAACAGACCTTGTGTCTCTTCTACCCCCAACAATACTGTTAATATTTGACCCGATCTGATGAAAAATGCCTTACAAGAGTGCTCACAGCCATGACCCCGCGGGGTCAAAGCGCTCGCCCTCTTCTAGACTTGGGGAAGCTGAGCAGAGCAGCTGGTGAATTGTCCAGGGCCCAGGCGAGGTTGGGGGGGGATCTGTCCCCCCAAACCGTCCCAGAGAAACTTCTTTGGAGTTTCAGATGGGGAACTGGGATCAGGAAGAGGGAGATCCTCGTGTTTTAAGTTGTGCCAGGAGCTGCCGTCAAGGTATCCCCACTCAATTCTAGAAAGCTGGGACAGCCGGGGTTTTACGTGTGGGATCTCAGCCCCGGGGGTCTTGCTGGGTTCCTGGAGGGTGGCTCCTGCTTCACTCTTCTCCCCTTCTCCTCCCAGGGAATGACCACTTAGTGATGCTGACGGTGGACGGTGACCTCTTCACGTGCGGCTGCGGCGAGCAGGGCCAGCTGGGGCGAGTGCCGGCGCTTTTGGCCAACCGAGGAGGAAGGAGAGGGCTCCGTGAGTGGTTTCAGTGCTCAGAGAGGCGTGGGGTGCTGTGTCCTTCACCCCCAGCTCTGTGCTTCACAGAGGAGCAGGGAGACCCAGTCTCTTCCCCTCTTGCTCAAGGGCTTGCCTGTAAATCGGGTTGCTTGGATTCAGCGAGCTGGGTCTGAGGAGGGGGGATGAAAAAAGGGTGTAAATGGTTATTCCTCAGATGACACCTTGTTTTCTGCCCCCCTCAGAGCGCCTGCTGATCCCCCAACGTGTCCGTGTCAGAGGGAAAGGCAACAAAGGCAAAATGCGCTTCCAGGACGCCTTCTGCGGCGCTTATTTCACCTTCGCCGTCACGGAGGAGGGACACATCTATGGGTTCGGGCTCTCCAACTACCACCAGCTGGGTGAGCTTCACTTGGGGGCCTTCACATCTCCTGCCTGCTTTGGTCTGGCTGCAGGCTCCCCCGTCCCGTGCTCCCCTGGCCTGATGGGGGGATGCTGCTGGGCACCCCAGATCCTGACCACCAAGCACACACTGGAGCTGGAAATTTGGGGAGGCATTGAGGAGGTCCTGTGCTCCCCTGGCCTGATGGGGGGAAGCTTCTGGGCACCCCAGATCCTGACCACCAAGCACACACTGGAGCTGGAAATTTGGGGAGGCATTGAGGAGGTCCTGTGCTCCCCTGGCCTGATGGGGGGAAGCTTCTGGGCACCCCAGATCCTGACCACCAAGCACACACTGGAGCTGGAAATTTGGGGGGGGTCCTGTGCTTCCCTGGCCTTATGGGGGGAAGCTTCTGGGCACCCCACATCCTGACCACCAAGCACACACTGGAGCTGGAAATTTGGGGGGGTCCTGTACTCCCCTGGCCCGATGGGGGGAAGCTTCTGGGCACCCCAGGTCCTGACCACCAAGCACACACGAGCTGGAAATTTGGGGGGGTCCTGTACTCCCCTGGCCCGATGGGGGTCAGCTTCTGGGCACCCCAGGTCCTGACCACCAAGCACACACGAGCTGGAAATTTGGGGGGGTCCTGTGCCCCCCTGGCCTGATGGGGGGGACACTGCTGGGCACCCCGGATCCTTACCACCAAGTATACACTGGAGCTGGAAATTTGGGGGGGTCCTGTGCTTCCCTGGCCTGATGGGGGGAAGCTTCTGGGCACCCCAGATCTTGACCACCCAGCACCCACTGGAGCTGGAAATTTGGGAGGGTTGAGGGGGTCCCATGCTCCCTTGGCCTGATGGGGGGATGTTGCTGGGCACCCCAAATCCTGACCATGAAGTACACACTGGAGCTGGAAATTTGGGGTGGGGTTGAGGGGGTGTCACCCTTCATAGCTCTGGGTTGAAGTCCCAACCCCTGCAGCTGGTGGGTTTGAGCAGAAAGTTGATTCTGGGGGGGAGCTGTGTTGGTCTCTGGGGGGGTGAGCCCCAGGGGTGGATGGCTCGGTGCCGGTGCCAGGCCTGGGCTGGGGTCTGATCCTCCTGGGTTTGTGCGTCCCACCCCGCAGGGACCCAGGGCACCGAGCCCTGCTTCTCCCCGCAGAACCTGACGTGCTTCAAGAACTCCACCAAGTCCTGGGTGGGGTTCTCTGGTGGGCAGCACCACACCGTGTGCGTCGACTCGGAGGGTGAGTGATGGCCTGACGTTGGGGTTGGGTGTCACACACAGTGGGATGGGGGGGGACTCCCTCGTCCCAACTGGGGTGGTGGTGGGGTGAGGGTGACCTGCTGGAGCCCTCCAAGGTGTTGGGGGCAACAAGGGTGGCATGAATTTGCAGCAGAGGGTAGGGAGGGTGGTGGGGACCCAAAATGAGTTGTGACCTCTGCTCTTGCACACTCAACAGTCTACCCACCCTATGGATTTTGGGGAGCTCAAGGGTCTCTATCCCACCCTGCACCCCCTGGTTGGGATCTAGGGTGTGGTGGGGAGGAGCGATGCTTCTCTACCCACCCTATGGATTTTGGGGAGCTCAAGGGTCTCTATCCCACCCTGCACCCCCTGGTTGGGATGTAGGGTGTGGTGGGGAGGAGCGATGCTTCTCTACCCACCCTATGGATTTTGGGGAGCTCAAGGGTCTCTATCCCACCCTGCACCCCCTGGTTGGGATGTAGGGTGTGGTGGGGAGGAGCGATGCTTCTCTACCCACCCTATGGATTTTGGGGAGCTCAAGGGTCTCTATCCCACCCTGCACCCCCTGGTTGGGATGTAGGGTGTGGTGGGGAGGAGCGATGCTTCTCTACCCACCCTATGGATTTTGGGGAGCTCAAGGGTCTCTATCCCACCTTGCACCCCCTGGTTGGGATGTAGGGTGTGGTAGGGAGGAGCGATGCTTCTCCAGGGGTGGAGGGGCTGGTCTTGGCCTGCTGCAGGCTTCTGTCCCCCTCCAGTCACCTCTCCTGTGTGTGTGGTGCTCCAGGTAAAGCCTACAGCCTGGGCAGGGCTGAGTACGGCCGGCTGGGCCTGGGGGCAGGGGCAGAGGAGAAGAGCACACCCACCGTCATCCCCGAGCTCCCCAACATCTCCTCGGTTGCCTGCGGTGCGTCGGTCGGCTACGCCGTCAGCAGTGATGGTGAGTGGGCTCTGGTGGGCTTGGGAACAGCACCATGTGGTCCTTCCCCACCCCTCATCCATCCATCCAACCATCCATCCATCCTGGCCTCCCCTGGATCCATCCAGCCCCTCCATAACTTCATTCCTCGCTGCTGGTTGGGGTCGGGACCAGGGCCAGGACTTGGGGGCAGCTGGGCAGCAGCTGCTCAAATATTTTTGTGGGCCCTTGGCAGCAAAGGTGGTGACAGGGTGGTGACTGGGAGGGGGTCGTTGGCCTCCTGGTCCCTTCTCTGCACCCTGAACTCTGCAGCTGCCAGATGTTGGTGCTGGGCCAGCTTCTGCCTGGCATCTGTGGTGTGGGGGAAGGGTTTGCTGGGGGCTGATGGGTCTGGTTTGCTCCCCCCAGGGGGGGCAAAACGCTGCCTTGGTTGTGTGATGAAACCTTCTTTGAGTTTCCAGTGCTGTTCCTCTTCCTCCTGCCTTCCTCTCCCACTCATCTCCCTGCCCAGGTGGGAAGTCCCCTTGGGTTTGGCTACTGGGTCCCCTCCCCACCCCATGGAACTCAAAACCTGTGTGATGAAACCCCTCTTTGAGTTGCCAGCACTGCTCCTCTTCCTCCTGCCTTCCTCCCCACCCCGTGGAACCCAAAACCTGTGTGATGAAACCCCTCTTTGAGTTGCCACCAGAGAAGGAGACTTCACCACCTCCCTGGGCAGCCTCTGCCAGGGCTCTGCCACCCTCAAAGTGAAGAAGTTCCTCCTCATGTTTAGGTGGAACTTCTTATGTTCAAGTTTGTGCCCATTTCCTCTTGTCCTGTCACTGGGCACCATTGAGAAGAGACCAGCCCCATCCTCCTGACCCCCTCCCTTTAAATATTTACAAGCATTGATGAGAAATGCTGGAATGAAACATCTCTTTGAGTTGCCAGCACTGTTCCTCTTCCTCCTGCCTTCCTCTCCCACTCATCCCCTTGCCCGGGTGGGAAGTCCCCTTGGGTTTGGCTACTGGGTCCTCTCCCCACTTCGTAGAACTCAAAACCTGTGTGATCATAGAATCATATGGGGTTGGAAGGGACCTCTGGAGATCATCAAGTCCAACCTCCCCACTGGAATGGGTCCACCCAGAGCAGGTTGCACAGGATCTTGTCCAGGTGGTTTTTGAATGTCTCCAGAGAAGGAGACTCCACCACCTCCCTGGGCAGCCTCTGCCAGGGCTCTGCCACCCTCACAGGAAGGAAGTTCCTCCTCATGTTTAGGTGGAACTCCTTATGTTCAAGTTTGTGCCCATTTCCTCTTGTCCTGTCACTGGGCACCATTGAGAAGAGACCAGCCCCGTCCTCCTGACTCCCTCCCTTTAAGTATTTACAAGCATTGATGAGAAATGCTGGAATGAAACATCTCTTTGAGTTGCCAGTGCTGCTCCTCTTCCTCCTGCCTTCCTCTGCCACTCATCCCCTTGCCCAGGTGGGAAGTCCCCTTGGGTTTGGCTACTGGGTCCTCTCCCCACCCCGTGGAACTCAAAACCCTTCCCTTGCAGGACGAGCATTCGCCTGGGGCATGGGCACCAACTACCAGCTGGGCACGGGGGAGGAGGACGACGTCTGGAGCCCCGTGGAGATGACGGGGAAGCAGCTGGAGAACCGCACGGTCCTGGCCGTGTCCAGCGGTGGCCAACACACGGTGCTGCTGGTGAAGGACAAGGAGCAGAGTTGATGAAGCCCACGGCTGCGCCCGGTGGGACCCACGCACACACCCCCCTCAACTAACACCTTCCACCTGGGGTCGGGCAACTGGTTTCCAGCTCTGGTGGCCCACCCACGGCGCTGGGGAGGGGGTAGAGGGGGGGTCCTGGAGCTGGACCCCCGCGGCAGCGTCGGGGTGGTTGGAGCAGGGCTCTTCAGGGATGCTCACGATTTCTCCCTGCGAGTGCCTGTGTCTTCCCGTGGTGGCTGGTGCCCTGTTGGCTCCCCCCCAGGTCAGTTTGGTCCTAAACTGATCTCAGCGCTGCGGCTGGATGGGTTTTTTCCTCTTCTTGTTTAGTTTTTCTTTTAATATTTCCCGGCAAAGCTGAGGGCCTTGTTCTTCTCTACACAAAGAAAAAAAGCTTTGGGGCAGCGGGCTTTCTGAAACCCCCGCGTTCCCCCAGTTTTTGGGTGCTCCCCACATCCCCTTCACCTCAACATCTTTTACCTCCGCCTCGGGTTTGCCTGCTGACACCCACCCAACCCCTCGGGGTGAGATCTTGGGGACCTCTCTCCTGCACCCATTGCTTGTGGCAGCCACGGGGAGATGCTCCCAGGAGCCTGTGAGGGGGAAACGCGGCTCGAGGATGCCCGTCCTGAGCTGTGGCTGCTGGAAAATTGGGGGTTCCTGCCTCCCCCCTACATCACCGTGTGTTTATCTGAGCCAGAACCTCCCGGGTGGCACCACCAGGGGCAGGTTCCTCCACGTTCTCCTGCCTGGAGCAGCCACCTCCAGCGCTGATTTTCTGCAGTCCCAGCCACTCACTCCTCAAATTGCCTTCGGAAACTTGACGAAATCCATCTCATGGGTGGGGACTGTGTTATTTTCATATTTTTTTTCTCTTTCCTCTGCTGAGGAGAGGGCTTCATTTGCTGTTAGGGCCTCGCTGAGAAGACAACCAAAGCCCAGCTCTGCGTGGGGTTGTTCCAAAGGATGGGATTCCCTCCCCATCTTGCTCCCTGTGCCCGACCTGTCCCTTCTTCTCCGTCCTTCCAGGTGCCTGGACGGAGAAGGGGGGGTTGGGGCTG